CCACCACAGTCACAGGGAGGGGATCAGCACTGTGTTCTAATTCTAGTTCAGACATCTTCTCAAAAGGTCACTTATCAAGCCATTTTTGTCTTTTATGAATTTTTTGTCTTTTTAAAAGGTAGGATTACACTTCTTCCCTGATTGAGATAGTGGAGTATATGCTTATTTATCAAAATATTCATGCCATTGGGAATTAGAGTCGGTAAACATTTATGATATGTGAAAAACCACGAAACATCTCACCCAACCCACATAAATATATATGCTAAGTTGTATTTGTATTTATACACAAAAGGCTTAGAAGGACCAGCCAAACTATAAACCACCTATGATTATCACTGACTTGTATGGTCTTTGCTTCCTGTGTTTCTTGTTCTTTATAGTGCACAGGTTAACTTTTAAACATAGGGGGAAATGTTATTTAAAACTTCATCTTGTATTCTGATAGGCCTTTTATCCACAGATAACTTTGTAATATCAAGCAATGCTTATCTGAAAATTCTGGTTTACAGTTATGTAGCTCTCCCAAATGTTTACACAGTTCATATTATATAGTTATAGTCACTAAAAGTCACTCTCAACCTCATTATAAAAAAAATCTTTAAATAGTTGGAACATGTTGAGTTCCCAGTGGTAGTGCAGTAGGCAGAATAATGGCCCACTCAGAATGGCCCCCAAATTCATGGAAGCTATTGAATAGTTTAACTTCTCTGGCTGTTGAATAGTTTAACTTGCATTGTGACTAAGGTATGCTTAAGGTGTGGAGGTTAGTATGTGGGTGGCCTCAGTGTAACCTAGTGTCTTAGTGTCCTGCTGAGAGAGAAAGATAAACAGATATTCATCAACTTTTATCCAGGGGCAAACCCCCTTTGCACTTTTGGCCTACCCTGCTTGGCTAGTTTCCAGATAATTCTTTTGGGCAGAGAGAGAAGCTGCTGGCATATATGGGAAGTAGTTTCAGGAAGTAACTTCTGGGCTTGCCTCAAGAGATACAGAAGAGGCAACTTCAGAGTCTTCTGTGGTTACCTCAGGCTGTTCAGCCCATTGCTTTACTTAAATCTGAACCTATACCCCACTGCTCCCTTACCTGCCAGGGTTTTTCCTATGGTAAATATCCCTTTTAATATAATTTATTCATCACACATGGTTTCTTGCTTGTCTTCTCCCCATGTTCACTCTTGTACATCCTAAATCCTGCCATAGAATAAAATAGGCCTTCAGAAATTTTTTTTCTGAAACATGCATAAAAAAAGTCTTAAAGAAACCCTGCCTTCTGCCTCCCTGGTGGTACAAAGGGTTAAGTCTCAGCACTATGAAGCTATCAGCAGAGTTCAATTCCATTCCTGGCCAGGTAGCTAATCCACACGGAGCAGCAGACCTCTAGTCTCACCTGCTGCTCCCCTCAGCAGTGGATTTCAGTGTATCGGCCTGTCTGCTCCCCACTCTGTCTCTGGCGAATCCTCTCATACACACTTCTCCCTCCCCCAGCACTTCTGGTCTACAGCCCAGCTCTTGTATGCATAAATAAATAAGTCTTTTAAAAATTAAAAAAAAAAAAGAAATCCTGCCTTTATTATTCTTTGTTGAGAACCTAAGTAATTTTCTAATTCCCTTTGAGATCAGGCCAATCTTTTAATCCTCATCTCTCTTCCCCTGACAAGGATACTAATTTTTACCAATGCTAAATAGTAAGATAAAAAGGATAAATTTTATGACATTAAAAAAGTGCTAAATCGGGCCCTCCCTGGTGGCGCAGCGGGTTAAAGCACAGCACTGAGAAGCTAAAGCCACTTCCACATGAGTTCGATTCCCGCCTGCCCCGGAGGT